TATCTATCTATCTATCTATCTATCTATCTATCTATCTATCTATCTATCTATCTATCTATCTATCTATCTATCTATCTATCTATCTATCTATCTATCTATCTATCTATCTATCTATCTATCTATCTATCTATCTATCTATCTATCTATCTATCTATCTATCTATCTATCTATCTATCTATCTATCTATCTATCTATCTATCTATCTATCTATCTATCTATCTATCTATCTATCTATCTATCTATCTATCTATCTATCTATCTATCTATCTATCTATCTATCTATCTATCTATCTATCTATCTATCTATCTATCTATCTATCTATCTATCTATCTATCTATCTATCTATCTATCTATCTATCTATCTATCTATCTATCTATCTATCTATCTATCTATCTATCTATCTATCTATCTATCTATCTATCTATCTATCTATCTATCTATCTATCTATCTATCTATCTATCTATCTATCTATCTATCTATCTATCTATCTATCTATCTATCTATCTATCTATCTATCTATCTATCTATCTATCTATCTATCTATCTATCTATCTATATCTATCTATCTATCTATCTATCTATCTATCTATCTATCTATCTATCTATCTATCTATCTATCTATCTATCTATCTATCTATCTATCTATCTATCTATCTATCTATCTATCTATCTATCTATCTATCTATCTATCTATCTATCTATCTATCTATCTATCTATCTATCTATCTATCTATCTATCTATCTATCTATCTATCTATCTATCTATCTATCTATCTATCTATCTATCTATCTATCTATCTATCTATCTATCTATCTATCTATCTATCTATCTATCTATCTATCTATCTATCTATCTATCTATCTATCTATCTATCTATCTATCTATCTATCTATCTATCTATCTATCTATCTATCTATCTATCTATCTATCTATCTATCTATCTATCTATCTATCTATCTATCTATCTATCTATCTATCTATCTATCTATCTATCTATCTATCTATCTATCTATCTGTCTATCTATCTATCTATCTATCTATCTATCTATCTATCTTCTATCTATCTATCTATCTATCTATCTATCTATCTATCTATCTATCTATCTATCTATCTATCTATCTATCTATCTATCTATCTATCTATCTATCTATCTATCTATCTATCTATCTATCTATCTATCTATCTATCTATCTATCTATCTATCTATCTATCTATCTATCTATCTATCTATCTATCTATCTATCTATCTATCTATCTATCTATCTATCTATCTATCTATCTATCTATCTATCTATCTATCTATCTATCTATCTATCTATCTATCTATCTATCTATCTATCTATCTATCTATCTATCTATCTATCTATCTATCTATCTATCTATCTATCTATCTATCTATCTATCTATCTATCTATCTATCTATCTATCTATCTATCTATCTATCTATCTATCTATCTATCTATCTATCTATCTATCTATCTATCTATCTATCTATCTATCTATCTATCTATCTATCTATCTATCTATCTATCTATCTATCTATCTATCTATCTATCTATCTATCTATCTATCTATCTATCTATCTATCTATCTATCTATCTATCTATCTATCTATCTATCTATCTATCTATCTATCTATCTATCTATCTATCTATCTATCTATCTATCTATCTATCTATCTATCTATCTATCTATCTATCTATCTATCTATCTATCTATCTATCTATCTATCTATCTATCTATCTATCTATCTATCTATCTATCTATCTATCTATCTATCTATCTATCTATCTATCTATCTATCTATCTATCTATCTATCTATCTATCTATCTATCTATCTATCTATCTATCTATCTATCTATCTATCTATCTATCTATCTATCTATCTATCTATCTATCTATCTATCTATCTATCTATCTATCTATCTATCTATCTATCTATCTATCTATCTATCTATCTATCTATCTATCTATCTATCTATCTATCTATCTATCTATCTATCTATCTATCTATCTATCTATCTATCTATCTATCTATCTATCTATCTATCTATATCTATCTATCTATCTATCTATCTATCTATCTATCTATCTATCTATCTATCTATCTATCTATCTATCTATCTATCTATCTATCTATCTATCTATCTATCTATCTATCTATCTATCTATCTATCTATCTATCTATCTATCTATCTATCTATCTATCTATCTATCTATCTATCTATCTATCTATCTATCTATCTATCTATCTATCTATCTATCTATCTATCTATCTATCTATCTATCTATCTATCTATCTGTTTGTTTGTTTATCTAGACACATTTACTTCAATGTTGTTTTTGTGATAACATGCATGTACTTTTATTATTTAGTTCATTTATTTACTGTAAACAAATACTTGTGTTTTTCTTTTTCGATTTTCAAGTTGAACATGATGATTTTGACATATAACAAGTTTGTTGTTTGATTTAAAATATTCTACAAACAATAATATTTCGTCACAATCTGATCAATTACATAATGAATAATGAGGAATATTGATAATCAAGATATATACGTGCACAAGCACGTAGTTAAGTGGATAAAGTGATAGCGTCTGAAGCGGACGGCACTGAGTTCGAGTCCCAGAGTGAACATCAACTGTGGGATGCAGGTACATCCGGCTGATGAGTCTCAAATAACACGAAACTTACGTCTTGCATTCTGTTGCTAGCTACTATCCATCTTTGCTTAAACTACTTCATGTAAGTAATTTAAACCCATTATTTAATTATGATGTTTAAATATCACAGGTTGTAAGCAACTGACTAGAACCAAACGAAATAGAATGAATTCGTACTATTCTACCCAAATCTTTAATCTACCCAAGTTCATAAACCATGTAAAAGCTTCACGATAAATTTCGATACATGAATCTGTAATCGCACAGCCGAAGAGTTACTTAAGAATAAGAAATCTTTTAGAGATCTGTTGTAAAGCTTTTAGCAATGGTGTCTGATGAAGGTATACGATTCTTTCAATGGAGTTTATTGAAAGAAGTATATGTCTTCTAATATTCATAGAAAAGAACGATATCAAATAAATAAAATTAATAAGAGTGTTAAAAAACCCCTTGTATTTTTTCTATTTCATCTTTGAAATTGATGAATGGGTCAAGTTGGCTATTCTGATATTCAATTCATGACTTGCTTAATTTTCTGTCAAGATCGAACATCACCAGCTTATTTATTTATTTATTTATTTACTTACTTACTTACTTAGGCCTCTTACTCCACCTGGAGCCCTCCTTTGGTTACTACCGGTCGCAAGCCCGGATAAAGAAGGAGAGTTGGGCATCGGGTTAGCGACCCCAACACGTAGAAAAAAACGATAACCAGAACTTTAGCAGCATTATAGATCGTCGCATCTCAAACTGTATAATCAGTTAACAGGCATTTTAAAAAAATTAAAGAAGGAACGAATCGAGTGAACAAATTTCTTTTCAATTAGTTCTTCATCATAGCTCTACACTAATGCATATGTATATCTATATGATTTACATTAATGAAATAATACTCATCGAGTAGATACGTAACGCAATAATTATATAATGACATATCAATTATAAACTAACATTGAGTGATTGGAAGAAAGAGGATCATAATAATCAATAACCAATAACCGATAAGTCCTGGGTTCGAATCCCGCAAGGCTGGATCGTAAATGCTCAGCAATGAGAAGTCCCATACTAAGACGAAACGGCTGTTCAGCACTCTTAGGTTTTCCATGGTGGTGTAGCTTTAATCCACTCATGAATTCAACCATTAACTGATCAAAGTAATTATTTGAAGATCAATCAGTTGCTACGTTGCATAATATAGAAAAGAGAAGAAGGAACTAATAGAATATTTTGTTGAATAATCAGTAGTATAATAGTTATGTAAGAATCAAGAGACGAATGTTGAGAATAAATAAAATACAAAAAGTTGAAGGAATACGAAAATAGTATATCAAAGTTCTGCTTTAAACTCTCCTATACCGATAGTCAAAGTAGAGAGAGTGTTTGTAGAAAGTTATTTTAGATGCAAAGGTTCCGTTTGTGAACACGGATTGAAATGACTTTAGCTATGTGCACAAGATGTACACGTAAACTATGTGGCAAATTTGATGGAATACGGTGGATAACCGTAAAAGTTTTATTGAAATTCAACTTGATAACTTGTGTTCATTAAGTGAGCGAGAATAGAACTGTTAATCACTCTTACCTATGTTTTACTCAAACACAACGGATGGTGTCCTGTTATACGATGACGAACTTGCTGAGTTGTACGCCCCAAATATATATAGTGTAGAGCCATGGTGAAAAACTAATCGGTGAGACTATAATTTATGGACGAACCAATCACGTATAAGATAACGGGTCTCGGATTTTGGTGTGAAGTTCACATTTGGATAAATAGAATTTTGGCATTATAGATGATGTCAATTCGTAGTGAAAACCCTAAATCTTATTCCTGACCTTAAACGTCAACTGTAAATCACAATTCGAGGTCTTCACACAGGTTTGGTGTTACTTATCAGGTGAATACTGTAAAGGTCAGTCTAGCTTCGCTCAAAGGTGGTTGTCCATACATTATAGTCTCACGGTAACTTCTTCACTCGATTCTGTTCTTCTTTATTTACTAAATGTCTAATTGGGAATTTTTACTATAAAATAAATAAAGTATCATTTACCACTATTTACATCAAATAAACAGACTGAAATTAAATGTAATTCCAATTGGTTATTTTTTAACAGTCTACTTAGTAACCAAACAAAATGAAGCAAGTTGACATGACAACAACATTGAATATAGTTCTAACCAATCAATGAACTGCTTTAATTTAATAATAAGTTTTAAGCACTGTTTCCATTTCATGTAAAAAAATTACAAAAATAAACCAATGATTAGTTACTATTCAATAACCAATGAAATCTATTTGTACAATGGGCATTGCATAATAATAATAATAATAATAATAATAATAATAATAGTAGCAATGGTAGTAGTTAGGCAAACCAAAATATTTCATGAAAACAACAACAGTACCCTCCCCCCCGCCTCATAGACACACACACACACACTCACCAATGGCATTCGAAATGATCAATTGAAGAAATCATGAAATGATTAATAATTATTGAACAAAAATTCATTAATCATTTCATTTATTATTGAATTCAATTCATTATTATTTTTTTAGAAAAAAAAATCGATTATGACTATTGATCTGATCATAAATAATAATCAATTACAATTATGTAATAATTTACATGAAAGAGATCATGTCTCCTTTATACAATCGATTATATCAGTGATCCTATTAAGTATCATATGTTTATTAGGTATTATTGGAAATAGTTTAGTAATTATTGTTTATTGTATTAAACCTAAACATTATACTAATCGTTATATAATGAATCAGCATACAATCATCAATAGTAACCATAGTAATAATAATAATAATAATAATAATAATAATCCCTTGGATACTAAAATGACAAAAAAATTTGGCACTCATTCAATTTCATTGAAATCATATAAATTACCATTATATAAAAATAAATTAAATCAACATAATTTAATATTATTATTGGCATTTATTGATTTATTCACATGTGTTTTTATATTACCATGGGATATATATCGTGTTGCTAATTATGCCTATGATGAAACTATTCCTATCTTATCTATAAATGATAATAATAATCTGAATGAGAATAATTCTTCTGGAAACCATATTGATATAAATTCTAATAAAGGATTCTATATAAATTATCAATTAAATATTATATTAACATTATTACGTAATATTATATTTGCATGTGAAGGTAGTGTATTAACAGCGATTGCATTTGAACGTTATATAATACTTGTTAAACAAGATCTATGTAAATCATCTCTATGTTGTCATCATTTATTGAATAATAATAATAATAATAATAATAATAATAATAATAATAATAATAATCATATCAGTTCATTAATTCATAAGACTCCATCAATTCATCATACAAATCATTCGAATGAATTAACAAGATCATCTACAACATTGATGAATGTCACTAATGTGAAAGATAAGCATCATTCATTCTGTTCATTGAATAGATGTATTACATCTATATTGATTCTAGTAATTATTGGAACATGTTTATTTGAATGTCTATTGATTATAATGGAATTAATGAAATGGAATTGTCAATTGATTGAACAATTACGTGAATTCATTAATCAAATTTATATTCTATTAACATTTATCTCATTTATTATTATAACATATTTATATGTAAGAATATTTAGAATAGTTAAAGAGAATGATTTAAGAAAACAACGATGGTTAACTACTATTCATCATCATAATACAAATTATAGATCAATGAAGTTGTTGAATAAATCTAATTCATTTTTACAATCATCTATCTCTAATAATAATAATGAAATAGAACCAATATTAAAGGGAACAAATCAACATAACACCAAAATACATCATTGTGATACTGCACAATCTAGAAGATATGGATTATCATTTAGATTAATGAAACAATTAAGTTGTGATCAAGTGATTACAAAACAACCATCACCACCACCACCACAACAACAACAACAAGAACCACCACCACCAGCACAACAACAACAACAACAAGAACAATGTTATCATCAACATCAATTAGAGACAAGTATACAATGGAATATATTAAAAAGACGTATTCTATTAAAAACATCATCTATATCAACATTATTTGAACATTCAAAAGCTAAAGAAGAATCTAATAAATCTATGATATCAAAACATAATAATCAATCTATTGGAACAACAACAACGACAACAACACCAACGACAATATCGTCTTCAATATCTCCATTATCTGTAAATCGTTTATTATCTAAACGTGTAACACGTAGTCATCGTACAGGTTTAATGATATTTATTTCTACTGTAATATTTTATGCTACATTATTTCCTGTTTTATGGGTACATTTTAAATTTTGGTGGAAATATACCACCACCATCCCTACCGTCGCCATGACCACCACTATCACCAACACCACCATCATGAATGACTCTACGAATCAATTACATAATAGAACAAAATTTATTTTTAATAATCAAGAGAATGATGGAAGTTTTATGACAACTGTACATCATGAATTTTATTATGTTAATAATGCTGTGAATTTTTTTATTTATTCATTATTTAATCAAAGTTTTCGTGAAAGATTAAAACGTTTACTTGCAAAATATTGAATATTGAATACGGATTAAAACAAAATTAATGAAGGATTCTTATTATTATTATTATTATTATTAATGTGTTTTATATATTGACATATTGAAAAGAAGCAAACAAACGAACAAACAAATCATTCAATCATTTCTGGTTAGTTCATTTTTCTTCTTCTTCTTCTTCTCTAACATAACTACTCATAAATATGGTTATATAAGTAGTTAATTTAGATTGAATAAAAAAAATGATTGATTGATATTGGATGAATAATATACTGAGATGTTTGTCTGATTAACATTGTCTTTCTAATTTTAATAGAGATTAAGTTTTCTATGAGATGTGGTCATTAACCTAATATTTAATTATCCAGATTTGAAATCGACAATAGCTTAAAAAAGGACTTTCAGTGGAGAAGAATTAATACAACAATTGGATAGAATTATGAAGGAAGGTATAGGATTGAGTGGATTGGACAATATTGATTGATTGCTTATACTCTATTAGGAGTAACAGGCATAAAGAAATGAATGAATGAATGAATGAATAGTGAGATGTTGACTGATATCAAACTAGACTAATGATCGGGGATCAATTTTTTTGGGGATCATTAATGCTTGATATGTAATTTTTTAGTTGTGATCATCTGGATTTCTTATTATTTTTAGTAAAATATTAAATATCAGTAAACATTTTACCTGGTCAAAATATACATGTGAATTAAGAAGTTCATGGCTTGTTAAATTATTAGTGCGATGATTGTCAGTGATTCGACACTATTTTCAACAGGTTGACTTTGACTAAAGTATCATTGTAAACCATAAAGTACTACATAACTCTTTCATCTTGATAATGGAATAACTCATTAATCTTCATCCATAAATACACTTCAATGTAATACCGAAACATTCAAATCTCATAGTAAGCGCCTAAATGTTAGATCACTAGGATGTAATATAATAGCAAATAATTACAGTTTAGATTAATTCATACAGTAGCATGAATGTTATTCAAAATAACTGATGACAACTATTCTTCTCTTGACATTTCTAAACGATTCATTGGAAATTTAAGGACTCTTCTCAAAACCATTTATTATTGATCATGATTATATTATTCATGAATGGATTTCTTTGTGTTAATTTGTGAGATAGTAATTCATTGATGACAATGGTGGATGTCTTGCTTAATTAGTTGAGGTTAAACATCAATATCGTTGGATGCCGATTCAGTGGTCTAATGGCTAAGTGCTCGCGCGCGAGACTGACAGGTCCTGGGTTCGAATCCCTCGGGGCGGTGTCGTGGATGCGCACTGCTGACGAGCTTCACAATAGGACGAAACTGCCTTCCAGTGCTTCCAGGTTTTCCATGATGATCTAGCTCTAATTGACTCATGATCTCAACTATTGAAATTACTAGAAATATTTGTTGATGAATTTTAGTTAGAAATCATTATCAGTCGAGTTCAGTCATGTTAACCAAAACTTAATTATCAAAGATGACAACAAATATCAGTTAAAAACATTTTATACCAGATTTTTATTCACTCATTGATTCATAACAAATTCAACTAGTGATATGAAGTAATGAAGTCTCTACTGTGCTTTAGTATCCAGTAGTTTTTCCAATCGTTATCAATTTTTTTTCTAAAAACGCTAACTGTCTTGTTCCACTAAACCGAAGAGTACTTACTTACTTTCGCCTGTTACACCCACTGGATCATGGGCCGACGACCAGCACTCTCCATCCAACTCTATCGTTGGCAAACCTTTCCAGTTCTATCCAATTGTTGTTCATTCTCCTCATGTCTGTCTTCATTCCTCAGAGTAATATGTTCTTTGGTTTTCCTCATTTCCTTTGGCGTTATGGATTCTAAGTGAGGGATTGTCTTGTAACACAGTTCGGTGCTTTCCTTAATATGTATCCTATCCACTTCCATCGTTTCTTTCTGATCTATTCCTCCGTTGGGATCTGGTTTGTTCTCAAACCGAAAAGTATCTTCAATTAAACATTCATTTAGCTAAACATTTCTATTTAATCAATTAAGACTCACAATGCTATAGATCTGAACAATACTTAAAGAAATATCAGATATTTTTTTTAAAATATCAACACCGTTTGATGATGATTACGTAACTATAAAAGAAGAAAGATTCTAACAGAATAGCATGAATTCATTCTATTTCGTTTAGTTCTCATCAGTTGCTTACAACTTGGGATATTTAAACATCATAATTACATAATGGTTTTAAATTACTTACATGAAAGAGTTTGGTTAGAAGTGATATTGAAGACACATTAGTATACTATAGTAAGGAGGTTGTTTGTAGCAACAATTCAAACGCTTAGAAACAAGTGATTACATAATGAGTATCATTTTTATTATTATTATTAAAAGCTTTATTCAACATTATATTTTTGATACAACATAGAATTCTCAGCATAAAGTATTTCGACAAGTTTCTTTTTCTTATACCTCGATCGATTGTGACGATAAATTTTGAATGATCACCAGTTAGATGTTAGGAGTTCGGTAATCCACATTTGATCAATGTTCATTCGTTTCAATGCATATTGCCAGCCGCCATAATGTCGCTGATTGTACCTTTTTGTATCCCGTATAGTGAAAGGTTGTAAACTTTCCATAAACGCGCTTGAATAGATTGTGAACACAATAGACATAATGATGTGCTGAAACAAACAACAAAACACATAACTTGATGAAATATCTAGATCGGAGGAACAGGTAGCCCAGATATTCAAGCAGGCCGCCGCGTTCTATGATTATCCCATATCCAAATGAATAATCCGAAAAAATGGCCAGGTTAAGGGCAAAGTACATCGTTTGAAGCATGTGAATTTAGAATTGAGATAAGCAAACTACAATAAAATTCTTAATGTTAATGTTAACTTGAATTTGCGTGTATGTTAAGTGAAATTTTTTTCAAGATCCATGATCCGAATAAATATGGATCAAATAGGGTTAGAGAGAGAGAGAGAGAAATAATAGTGCAATTACAATTCGATCAAATAAGTAAGACGTAATACGGAGGGATGAATGTGAAGTGAATGAATCATGTATAAGGGAGATTAATGATGATATTTAAACAATAAGCTATGCCCTTAACCTGGCTAACATTTGGATTATGAGAATGAGTTTTGTGGAGATTTTTAGGAAATTTCACAAGTTGAAATCATGAGTCAATTGAAGCTAGACCACCATAGAAAACATGGAAGCACTGGACGGCCGTTTCGTCCTAGCATGGGACTCCTCAGCAATGTGCATCCACAAACCCGCACCCCGCGGGATTCGGACCCAGGACCTACTGGCTTCGCGCGCGAGCACTTAACCATTAGACCACTGAGCCGGCATCCAACGGTGTAATATTTGGATTAACAATTTGGATATGTGGTAATTGTAGAACCTGAAGAGAATTTGTCGAAAAGAATATTCTTCATTCAAATATTAGTCACTGAATATGATGAGGATCTTTAAACGATAATTCTGATTATCAAAATATCACAGATTGTAAGTAGTTGATGAGAATTAGACGAAATAAACATGAATTTATGTTAATCTACTAGAATCTTTATTCTTACTCTTAACAAAATAATAAAAGGGAATTCTATGTATATATGAAATAAATGAATTAGTTGCCTAGACAACATTGATTTGTGTGAATGGATTTTAACAATTTTTCTGTTTATGATCCTTTTTTTTTGAAAAAAAAATAAATTAATAGTCAATAATTTGAGTCATGACAACTAAATACTATTAGTTTATAGGGGTTTTCAATTTAAAGCAATTAGTCTCTATGATAATGTAATAAAAAGATGGAGACTATCAGAACTATGTGATGATGATATATTAGCGCAACACATTTCGAACAATCTAATCACACTTAATATACTTGTTAAGAATATTTATCTATATAAAGAAGAAATAAATGATCTTTGATTGAGATCATGAACTGATTGATGTTAGACCACTATTGATAATGTGGAAGTACTGGACAGCCGTTTGGTCCTATTGTGGGACAAATAACCCCTTCTATGACAATTTTAAAAGTTATACTTCTATATATCACTGACTACTATTTGGTTAAAACTAGACATTAACACCATTGAACACCGGCTCAGTAGTCTATATGTTAAGTGTTCGTACACGAGACCGGTTCTGGGTTCGAGTTCTGCTATCGATATCATGGGTATGCACTGCTAAGGAACGCCATAATAGTTTAGCGGTTACATTTATTTCTTCATGCTTCATATTATGATTGTCTAAATGCCAATGTAGTCGTCTATTTCTTCGAAGAGTAAACGTGCAAACAATTAAGATGGTTAACTTAGTATTTTCTAGTATTTAGTATCATTATAAGTTGTAAGTTTTTTTAAAATAAAACGATTCAGTGTATATAGTTGAGAAATAAGGACTTCATAATTTTCTGCAGCTTACTGTAAATATGAAGTGATATTTGGATGAAGATTAACATTATGGACTGGCTAATAACTAAACAAGGTAAAACTGTTTTGTCTCAGTGTAAGACTTTTAAACATGACTCATTTACAATACGGTCAAAGATCAAACTAGAACCTTCTGTCTCGTGGTAAGTACAGTCATCATAGACCTTTCATCCAAATAACTTTTATACAGCATTTCAACATTATACTTTATATCCAGTTAGAAACAAGGTACTAAGTTAGAAAGTTGTTCACAATTGATGCCATAATCCTAAGACACTACTTGAAA